GGTGGGCGGGTAGGCGGGTGGGTGGGTGAAGGTAACTGGGCACAGGGATGCAGGTGGTCGTCCTACCATGGACATCACATTCTTAGCACAGCACCCCCCGCCTTCGAGCACACTAGCATGTTCACGCATGAACACAACCACACTTTCATGCACCTATGTGCCCACGCTGCTGCTGCTGCTGCTGCTGCTGCTGCTGCTGCTGCTGCTGCTGCTGCTGCTGCTGCTGCTGCTGCTGCTGCTGCTGCTGCTGCTGCTGCTGCTGCTGCTGCTGCTGCGGCCACATCACCACTCAGATGGGCAGCAGCGGCGCCGGCAAGACCACAATGATGGACGTCATCGCCGGCCGCAAGACGGTCGGCCGCACCACCGGCGCCATCACGATCAACGGGCGCCCCAAGGACCCCGAGTCCTTCGCCCGCCTGACTGGCTACGTGGAGCAGACGGACGTGCATGTCCCGCTGCAGACAGTTGGGGAGGCGCTGCGCTTCGCGGCAGCGCTGCGGCTGCCGGCAGGGTTTTCTTCACAGGAGCGCGAGGAGCTGGTGCGGGTGGTGGCGGGGCTGGTTGAGCTGGGGCCGCTGGAGGGCTGCCTCGTTGGCACGCCGGGTGAGGCTTTTGTTTTCCAGTGCTGGGGTGGCGAGAGGGGGGCTGCTCTGCGTGTCTGAGGCACCTGCGTGCGGCATTGGCCAGATCGTCTGGACAGCTGGTTGCTGCCTGAATCTGGACTCCGTGGGTTGCTGATTTTGCAGAGGTCGCAAGGAGTGCTCCTCGGCCGCACGTTTGCTGCTTGCTCTTCTTTGGGCGGCCGCCAAGCCGGGCGCGAACTGCGGGGCCCGCTGCAAAGAAGACCCGCCCCATTCAAACCAAAATCGTCTGCAGGCGCGAGCGGGCTGTCGGCGGAGCAGCGGAAGCGGCTGACCATCGGGGTGGAGCTGGTGACCAACCCATCTGTCATCTTCATGGACGAGCCGAGCAGCGGTGCGCACCAGGACGGGGGTGGCGGGGTGGGTGGGACCACGCACCGCAGCTGTGACTGTCCGTGATCTATTAGCTGCTGTGCGTGGGAATTGGCGGGTGCGTTGCTGACAAGGCCCTGCTGGCCGGTCGCCGCTGCTGCTGGTGACTGGGCGCGTCAGCACCAGCAAGTGGCCACAAGCCTTCAAGCCCCAGGCGGCCCGCACAGCCACGGCGTAGCCACAACACACTTGCGAGGCGCCCTGGTGGTCGCACACCGCGTCGCAGGCCTGGACGCCCGCGCGGCGGCGGTGGTGATGGGCGTCGTGCGCACGATCGCCGACAGCGGCCGCACCGTCGTGTGCACCATCCACCAGCCCTCGGCCGCCATATTCGCATCATTCGACGATTTGCTCCTCCTGCGCCGCGGCGGGGCGGTTGTCTACAACGGCGCAGCCGCCGGCGTTGTGCCCTACCTCTCGCGCTACGCCCCGGCCCCCGCCGCCGGCCGCAACCCGGCCGGCTGGATGCTTGAGGTCGTGGCCGCGCTGGCGCCGGGCTCCCGAGCGGGCATGGGGGCCGGCGAGGCGCCGCCGGACGCAGCGGCGGCGGCGGCTGCGGTTGATCTGGCAGAGGAGTACGAGCGATCTGGAATGGTCGAGGCGGCCGCCCGCCGCGCGTCCGAGGCGGCGGCATCTGCTGCGGCGGCGGCTGGAAGCGAGCAAACGCCCAGGGATGAAGAGGCGGCGGCTAGGGCTTGGGATGAGGTCGAGGCGGCCGGCTCGTCCGCTCAGCCGTGCAGCGGGGCCGCGGCGCCGGGGGCGTGGGTCCAGTTCAGTGCCCTTCTGCAGCGCAACCTTCTGGGATACTGGCGCAACCCGGGGCACAACATCCCGCGGTACCTCATCACGCTGGCCATGGCGCTGCTGATTGGCACCGTCGAGTTTGGCAAGAGCAGGTGCGGGCAAGAGGCACATCGGCGGTACGCATTTACGTCTCACACGTGCCCGATTTCCGTTTGGTGCAGTGCGGAACAAGTTGAGCTTTGGTGGGGGCAATCGAGGAAACGGGGGTGGGTGTTGATGTTCTGCATCGGAACTGTGGGCAATTGCAGCGGGGCGTGCTGCAGCGACGGCCGCTCGTTGATTCTGGCCAAGTGTTGATCAGGGACCCTGCCCCAATGCTGCTGCGCAGGCGCGAGCAACTTACGGACGCAAGGGGCGTGCAGAACGCGATGGGCAGCATGTACATGTGAGATGCCGGCGGCGTGCCCGCAAACCTTTGGTCGGCCGGGTCGTGGCGCGCAAGAGCGCAGAGCCCCGCCCACAACGCGCGCCCTCGGCAGCGCGGCGGCTGTTCGAGCCTGCGAATGAGCGTGCTAGTTCTAATTGGCGTGCCTGAGAAACCTTGGGCTGCAGCAGCAATCTTCTCAGACGGGCAGCAATCATGCATGCAGCATGCACATGCAATATACGTGGTGCATGGCACGGGTGCGGTTCTTGATACATGGCGCTTGGTGCCTCCCCGCGCGCAGGATCGTGATCAGCCTGGCGTTTGAGGCGGCGTTCGAGTCACAGAGCGGCATGGCGCAGGAGCGCAGCGTCTACGCGCGCGAGCGCGCGGCGCGCACCTATGGGCCAGGTGCGGGCGGGACGGCTGAGCCTCGCTCCCATGCGCTCGGTCAGCTCGTTGCTGAGAGGACAGCACAGGCACGCTCGGCTTCCTACAGCTGCCCGGCCCACAATCTGCGCGTGCAATCCCCTGTCTGACTTGGCCTCTCTCCCTGCAGTTTGACCGCAAAGCAGGCGACCAGCCCCTTGCTTGATGCCTGCAGCATCCTCCCCACGGCCTGCCGACTCACCTTGCCCCGCACCCATAAGCAGGCCCCTACCTGGCGGCTCAGGCACTGGTAGAGGCGCCGTTCCTGGCGCCGCAGACGCTGCTCTACACCGCCGTCCTCTACCCCCTGGTCGGCCTGCGCCCCGACGCGGGCGGCTTCTTCTTCGCGCTGCTGGTGGTGTTCCTGTCGGCCGCCTGCATGATACTGCTGTCTCAGGTGAGGCGCGCCCGGACTGGGGCCAGGAGCGCCCGCATTGGCAGCCCGCTAGTGGTGGGCGGTATCACATCGGGTTGTTACTTGCACTTGCGTCACACACTCGGAACGGTTCCAATTGGAGCGCCTGGTGGCGTGGTGGTTCTGGGGTCCTGTTTGGCGTCTGCTCCAGCTCTTGAAACCCGCAACCTGCGCCCCTTTTGTCGGCGCCTTTGGGAAGGCGCTGGTGCATGTCACGCCGGCGCCCTACCTGGCTTCGTTGCTGCTGAGTGTCATCGGGGGGTCGCTCTTCAACGTCCTCTGCGGCTTCATGGTGGGCATGCGCGGCGCATGCAGGCATCATGGTGTGTGCTTGGGGGCATACATGTGATGGCGGGCCTGCTAGCTGAGTATTGGCTGACATCAACTTTGTTTGTTGTTTGTTTGTTGTTTATTTGTTCGTTGTTTTTTGTGATGCCGACTCCTCACTCTGCCGTGCGTCTTGTCACGCAACCACAGGCGCCCCTGCCGACGTTGCCAGCGTGGTGGAGGTGGTTCTACTACTCCAACCCCCTGGCTTACTCCCTCTACGCCATAAGTGGTACGTACGAGCAAGGCAGCTGCAGCAGTAGGGCTGTCCCGGCTCCTGGGCTGCCACCGACTCGTCTCGGCACAGCGACTGCTACCCAGGCTTAGCTCAAACCGTCAGCTGGCTTGCATTGTGCTCTGCCACAGCTGGGGCTGGTGCCAGGCTGACATCGCCCCGCCCTCAATAAAGGCCTGCAACCGGCGCCCCATCCTACGCCACGCTGTGCAATCATAGCCGACCAGCTGGGGAGCGAGGAGCAGCTCATGGCCAGCCCCCTGCAGGTCGGCGGCCTGATCCCGGTTAAGGAGCACCTGTCGGCGGTGTTTGGCATACAGGCTGGCGGCCGGGGCGTCTTCCCCGGGGAGTGGGGAGCGGTGGGCATGCTGGGGGTGCTATCGGCCCTCTACTTCTGCTGCAGCTACCTGGGGCTGCGCTTCCTGCAGCACCAGAAGCGGTGACACAGCATTGCAGGAGGTTGCTCCAGAAGCTCGATTCACGAGTGCAAGGGGGGGGTTATGTAGGTTTGAGTCACGCAATGAGACTCGATCATTGTGTACACTCTTCTTGTGTTGATCCACCCACTTCTGCACTGTTGTTGCACATTATTGGTTTGCCTTGACATTGTCACTTCAAGACACTGCCTGTGCACAGACCAAGCCTGCTTCCCTCCTGTGACTTTCTTTGTATTCAAACACAGAGAGTGTGATTGAGTGTGGTATTCAAACAATGCAGCTGCGCGGAACCTTTCTGGAGAACATTTTATTGTTCATTACTAATGAACTTGGATATCAATGTGTGTGTGTGTTGCATGGGTGTGGGTGCGTGCTTCGCTTGTCTTTAAGCTGATTATTGCGTGTCAATTTCTGGGCAATCAGGAGTGGCCTTTGCGCATCAAGTTGGCTGCCTATACACTTACTTGCATCTGAGTCTTCTGAGTCTTCTTTGAAGGCCTTGTAATGCCGCATCCTGTCCGCAAGTGTTGAAGTCCCATAGTGAAGCCTTGCGATGTGGGACATTGCGATTTGGACTGTTGCAACGTGGGTAGTGTCACACAACATTGCGCATTGGATGGGGTGCGTCATCATCAGCACAAGCACCCAGAGCAATCTTGAGTCTGCACTCAGTACAACCACAAGTGGGGTGTTGGAGCTCAACGAGCTGAAAAACCATCTGTGAGTGTCCAGCAACGCATTTCTGCTTCTCCTCACAGGTGTGCCCTGTCCTCAAGCTCCCAGCTCTTTCCCTCAGCGCATGTGCGTGCTTTCCTCTCAACCGCAGTCTCCCTGTGCGTATGATCACATGCGGTCATCAACATTCATCAGACGCTGGCCTCAAAAGGCGACGGCAAGGCGCAGACAGACCAATGGCAAGGACTGCAGGTTTTTTTGGGGGGGGGGGACGCAGCTGACTTTTTGACTGGCCCGAATACATCAAAGAATGTTGTGATCGGCGGCAGGTGGGCAGCGGAACCCTGAAAGCAGATGCTGCTTCCCTGCTTACATACGAGTCGATGCCCTTGGCTGATCAAATCCGGGATTGCGTGTGTTTGGCCCCACCAGCGGCATGGGGGCCGTGGGGTTGGTCTTGCAGGGTATTTGTGGCACTCTTTGAGCTCAATGAATAAGATTGGACGAGATAAATACATAACACTCAGCCTGGACGCGATGCTGCTAGCTGCTCGCTGCGATCTGGCGCGCCTCATCCTCAATCTCTATATGGCGTGCAGCATCCGGAGAAAAAAATGCTTGTGATGCCATAGGTTCGCTTGATCGGCCCCAGCTGTCTGAGCAGTAGGCAGCCATTTTGAACCGCTGCACACTGGCAACGCGCGCGCCGACACAGCCGGGGTGCTGAGACGCGCCAAGGGGTGGGTCGCGCCATCCTACACAGCGCTATGGCGGGCCAGTCGCCGCAGCGAAGGCTGGCGCAGTTTGCGCCTTCGGGCGGATTCATGGGCGTCGGCGGTTGGCGGCCGGAGCCGGTGCCCATCCTCACCGCCGCTATGGCTCAGGATGAGCTGCATCAGGTTGGCTGCTGCCCAAGGAAAATTTCTGCCATCAGCCGCCGTCGCGCTGGGGCGCCTGCTGCAACAGTGCTGCAAGGCGGCGAGCACGAGGGGCTGTACGCAGGCTCACCAGTGGCCGCTGCTGAGCAGCGGGCACCGCACGAATCACCACGTCCGCATCGCCCGCCGCAACTGCTGCGCACCTGCTCCCCGCAGAACTGCCCTCAGGCTGCAATTCTCTGGCTGGACGAGGGGCAAAGGGACTTGGTGGTCAGCCTCAGGTGCGTTTGCGAGCCTGCAGCCGCTGAGAAGGGCAGTCAGCAGTTTCCTGCAGCGTAGACGGCGCATCGTCGCCACATTCACCTGGCACTGGACGGCTCGTAGCTGCGCGTCGCCGCTCACTTATGACTGGCGTGTTGGGGACTTCCACGGTGCAGGGGCAGCTGCGGCAAGGCGGAGGCGCACTACCTGCAGCAGCGGCTGGACCTGACACCCTCGGATCGTGTGGCCTCGCAACAGGCGAGCAGCGGCCTGCATGCGGGCGACCGGCATGGCCCAGGAACCATGGCACCTGTATTGTGTGCCGTACAGTAGCCCTTGCCATGGGTGAGCGCGCTGTGCTCTGCAGAGCTTGCTGCTGCCCTGGCTGATACTTCCCCTTGATGCATGAACTGCATCGTAGGGCGGCATATGCTGCACCATCACCCTGGAGGGTCGCGCGGCCAAGGAGCTTGTTCAGAGCCTGACACGGCACATCCTGCCATGCTGGGAGAAGATCTGCACAGGTAAGTGCCCACGTCAGCTGCACTTGATCCCTGCTGCACGAACATGACGCGGTCCCCTGTTTTGCAGCTTGCCGGCATGCGCCGGTGCGCACCGCAAAAGCCCTGCCCTCCTCCCTTCCCAGACGCGGGCCGCCGCAGCTCGGCGCTGCTGGGCGACTCGGCATGGCTGGTGCAGGCGCGCGCGGGCGGCGACGCCGCGAGGGTGGCGCTGGAGCGCTGCGACGGGCAAGTCAAGGCGGTCGTGGTGCTGGAAGTGCAGCGGGCGCAGGTGCTGCTGCGGCCGCTGCAGGGCTGCGGCCCGCACAGGTGCGTGGTGCGCCACAGCGCACGCGTGATCCCGCGTCTTTGGTGGGTTCAGGCAGCTGGGGTGCCCAAGAGAGTGCGAGCCTGGTGCAGCATTGCCAAATCGCGGCCGCAGCAGTGTCGCGGCACGCGCGCCCGCCCCTCTCTGTGCACTTGGTCGAGGTGCGCGACACGCCGCATGCTCCGCAGCTGCCCCGAGCCGGTGCGGTCCTTGGAGGACGCGGTTCGCACTCTGGCCAAGTGCTCCGCCGCCAAGCAGCAGCTCGACCGCCGCGCCGCGGCGGCGGTGGCGGCGCTGCAGCAGCAGCCGGGCGCGGCGGGGCTGCAGAAGCTGTCGGCTGCAATTGAGGAGGATCTGGGCCCCGAGGCGGCTTGCGGGGGCGCGGCGGGGGAGGCGGCGGAAATGTGAGCGGGGGCAAGCTGGGGCTAGGGCAGAAAGGGGCCGGCAGGGAGGGGAGCAGGGCCCTCATGAAACGGCGTGGTTCAAGGGCTTGGGCGCGTGCGGCGTCCATGCACATTATGCTTGGCTTTGTCGAGCCTCAGGTTGGAGTGAAAGGCAGCATCACGCCGGTATTGCTGAGACGCACCACCCCTCTGCCGCTCCGCAGCTGCAGGTGGCTAGACGCGGGAGTGGTTCCCGCGTTGGTGGACCACGCGGCCGCCTGTGCCTGCCCGCAGCTGCACGCAGCCCGCCCTCCGGCCCGCCGCGGCCGCACCGACCAGCAGCGGGCGCACAGCCACGCCAACGCAATCGCCGCGCTCGTGCAGCGCGCCGGCGGCGCGCGCGGGGCACACGAGGCGCGGCTGGCGGTGCGGTGCGTCCAGGGGCTGCTCGACTCGGGCGGCGCGCGGGCGGCGGCGCCGATGCTGCACCTCCTGCTGGGTCTGCTGGACGGCGGCGGCGGCGGCGGCCCGCAGCAGCGGCGGCGGCCATGGGCGCAGCAGCAGGAGCAGCAGCAGCAGCAGCAGCAGCAACAGGAGCAGGCGTGCAGCGCGTTCGCCGCGGCGGTGGTGGAGTCGCCCATGCTGCTGGAGGTGCTGCAGGATCTGTACTCACAAACGGCGTGGCACCTGCCAATGGCCGAGATGCTGGCCAAGATAAGAGGCGAGTGGCTGCAGTGTGTACCCCATCACAGCGGGTTGGCACTGGGGCTGCGGGATGCGGCACACTGGATCGGATTGATCGGGTTTGGACGGGGGTCTTGACGGGGTTCCACAGGAGTGACAGCAGGGCGCAGCTTTTGGGCAATGCCGAGCTGCTGGATGGGTGGCTGACACGCCCCATCGCATCGCCGTACCCGCAGCCGTGGGCCTGGCCGCATCCCACATGCTGGGAGCCGCGGACGACCGCGCCGCGCCCGCCTCTGCGCGCGCCCTGGCCCTGGCGG